GAAATGTCTTGATGATAATTGCGGCTGGTCTTTTAGAGCTTCAAAAATCAGAGAAACGGACATGTTCAAAATAAGATACATGGAAAATAGTCACACATGCAAGTTGGATGTCGTGTTGAGACATCACCGCCAAGCAACAAGTTCGTTTGTGGCTAGTTGCATTAAGTACAACTATCTCTCTCCAAGGACCATATACACTCCTGGTGACATTATGAAAGACATGATGAATACATACGGAGTGTGGATGAGTTACGAGAAAGCTTGGAGAGCTCGAGAGCAGGCATTGGATAGGGCAGTGTTAGCTCCAACGCCAAAAAGAAGACCCGGAAGGCCTAAGGGAAAAGGAATACCATCAACAGAAGAGAAAGAGCAAATTACAAGGTGTGGAAGATGCGGGGAGTTCGGCCACAATAGAAGAAGCTGCAAAACCTCCCCGCCAATAAAATCAAAGTCAGACAGGAAAAGAAAGTCACAAGATTCTCTGACGTGCAAGGTAACATATCCAATTTATATTTAGATTAAATGCACAGGTTATTTGGGACCTGTAGTAATTTCTATTCAAATTAATGTTAACAATGGTAATTTACTTTGTGTTGTGTTGACAGGACGATCAAAAGAAAAACTGCAGTGAACGAAATTGCACTGGAGTTGATGAGACAGAACAGATATTGTAGTGTATTTGCATTTGTGTGCTTAATGGATCAAAGCAACAGAATAAACACTGTGATTAAATTATTGAGGTAATCACTTTCATTTATTAATTGATGATTTATTGAATTTTTTTTAAGTCTTCACAACCGGTGCCAAATAGCATTATTTTATCAATAACCGTATTGATCTATTTCCATCGCAACTTTCAACTAAAGGTACTAAAATATGTGCTTAAACCGCACTAGGGGTGCAAGCGGTTTCATTTGGTCGATTTCAACAAGTTTTCAAACTAGATTATTTAAAACGGTATAGAAAATCAAAACATAAATCAAATCGTTTAAAAAGATTTGAGATTTTCTCAAACTTAAACATAGCAAACTAATTGTTTGGTCTGATTTTAAACCACAATTTGGTCTCTAATCACTATATCATCACAAGTTCATTATTTATATAATATTTTGATATTTCATTGGCGATGAAAAAACTAAATAATCAAACTATAAATTTAAATACCAACAAAATCAAAGAAATGTCGCGATGAAACTACAACAAAGTATTTCATTCATATTTTTAAGCTAAGTCCATGCAAAAAAGCCAATGCAATGTTATGATCGGAAATGATACTTGTACAATGGAAATACACCGACAGTTTTAATAGTGTTGAGATGATAACACCTAATTGACTGTTTTAACTGTGCTTTTTTGTCCAAAAAACCTATATGTTCATTTTTCCTATACATATATCACTGCTTATGTTATGATACAACTTCATTAAACAAAATAAGGATAATTGCAATGGGGTTTCAAACTTTTCAAAAATGTGTAGGTTTTACTCAAACATTTGATTTGTAGCATAATTGATCCCAAATCTTTCAAACTGGTGCAACAAAAGGACCTCTGGATTATTTACGTTCAAAAATTCGTTAATTGACCAAAAGTCAAAAATTTTACCAATTTTAAAAAGGATAAAATAATTTTTTAATTTTCTTATCAATTAAAAAGGAATAATTTGTATATGAAGTCTTAAACCATTCAGAAATATGCATCAATCCGCACAATCACCCAAGCCTTACGCTTAATCCTCAATCCACCCATTGATAGGTGGGGAAGCCTCTGTAACCACTATTACTATTGGTTTTAAGACTAATTCATCTATTTTTATTTATTTATTCCCAATTCTTTAAAAGTTCTTGTTAGGAAAAAATGAAATTGGAGGATAAGGAAAATGATGCCAATAAAGGTGGAGGAAATGAAACGACGATGGTGGCTAAGCATATCTTACATTTTACTCAAGAAGTTGATGTATAGAACGTATCTATTTTTCTTTCTTACAACAATTTAGAGATATGATGCATTGATAAAATTAAATGAATGTGGATTAGAGTCAACCTAAAAAAATAAAGCAACCTCGACCACCAGCACAACTCGAGCCCCCAACCATTTTACACATCTACCATAAGATACACAGCCAAAGCATTTTGTAGGCCTAGCTTAGATGATTTTTGGGCACGACATGGCTCATGCTTGGTCACTTCAAGCCTCCAGACATCTACAAAATTATTTGTGGAAATTTTATCGAGCCTAATATTTTAAAATCCAACTTCATAAATAAGATTTTAAGTTTCATCTTTCATATTTAAGATTATAATTAATTATTTAATATTTATTAAATAAATACAATATTAATAATCAATCAAAATTAATTATATCACTTTCTCTATCCCTAATCTCTCTCTAATTTCTCACTCTTCCTTATGGCTACAACACCACAAGCGCCCTTCTTCGTCGTCACAGTCGGACACTCCATAATCATAATCCGGTGCAGGCCACCGCCCCGCAGCGTCGTGCACTCATCGCCTTTTCCCCACGAGTGGCACTCATCACTTTCTTCTTCTCTCTTTTTTTTTCCCGAGTTTGATTATTGATGGTTTTTTGTGCTATTTGCAATGATCTGGGGTGTTGATCGCCATTGTGCGAAGCAGGCAACGATGATGGTGCGATGGTATGGAGCGCTGCAGATCGGGACAGGTGGCCGGAGCTGCAAATCTCTAGGCGACGCTAGACAAGTGGTTGATGCTACAAATCTCCCCGCTGCTTCATTTCATGCACTTCGGCACCTCGTGGCAATGGTGTGGGTATAGTTGTGGTGCGGTGGGTTGGGGTGCAGTGTTGTGGGTGTGGTGTGCTATGTGCAGTGGTGTTGGCAGTGGGTGGACAATGTGCTATGGTGTTGATCGGTTGCCATGAGGTGGTGGGGTCGGCTCGACGATGGTGGTGTGTGCGATGAGGGTGATGAGGTGATGGTTACAAATGGTGGTGGTAAACACAAATTATTTGATTGATTGTGACCAATAAATTGGTTAATTTGCAACCAATTATTTGAGATTGTGACTAATAAATAATAAAACCGATAACTTATGAATAATAAATAATATGTGACCTAAGAATTTGAATCATGACTTATAAAATGTCATTTATGACCAATAAATAAATTGTAACTTATAATTTTTATTATTATTTGTGACCGATGAATAAATTGTAACCTATAAAATTTTTTATTTGGAACCATAAAATAATTTGCGACCTATAAAATTTTTTATTCATGATCAATTAATTCAATAATTTATTATCAGATAGTATAAGTGAGTGTTTGGTGTTGATTAAAATTGGATTTTTAGTAGATTGTAATAGAAGTTTTTAAAATGTGTAGTTGAAAAGATGTGAAACTCATGAATGATGTGATTAATATTGATTGTTTGATTTTGACTTAGATTAAAATCTAATTTTAATTCGAAACAAACATGACCTAAAATTGTGACATTAATATATTTAATTGATAAAATATATATTTAATTGATAAAATATTTTTAATTAATTATTTCATAGATTAAAATTTAATTAAAATCTGATTTTTGAAATTTTAAACTTTATTTCTTAATTTTCAAATGGACCATAGAAATTTTCCCAAATTACTTTCAGTATGGTAGAAGGGAAAAAAAATCATAAATCAGGTGTACACCAATTCAAAACTCAGATTTATAGTTTGAAAATTCAAAATTCAGGTAATATATAATTAATTAAAAATATTTATTAATTAGGTCATACTTACACAATTATTAGTCACAATTTATTTCGAGATCACAAATTCAAAAATTTACAAGTCACGGTTAATTTCTTTGGTCACAAATTATTTTTCAGTCGCATATGTTAAAATTTTTAGGTTACGATTAAATTCTTTGTCACAGATAACCAAATACTTGGTCAAGAATAACCCGGCCAGCAGATCACCGTCACCACCGCCACAGCCACCGCCACCATTGAACAACCACCAACACCACCAACACCACCACCCCTCACCACGACAACCACCAATAAAGCACAACCATTTACAAACTGAAAACAACACAACCACCAAATGTCGCTTCTGCTGACGACACCAATCGTCACTGCCCAACTCATCTAGGGTTTGTTTGATTTGGGCATTCGACCACTGCAGGGCGTTGCGTAGCACCAATCGCCATCTGTACGACCACCCTTGCAATCGCCATATGCAAACCACCAACCCACACACCGTAGGGCGTTGCGTAGCCCCAATCGCCATCTGCATGACCACCACCTACAATCGCCATTGGCAAACCACCAACCCACACACCGTAGGGCCCTGCACAGCACTAATCGCCATCTGCACGACCACCACCTGCAATCGCCATCTGCAAACCACCAACCCAAAGTCAACTCAACCATGCCTGCACGACCACCACATTCGCCACCGCCACCATCGCCTGCACGCCGCCACCACCTTGGGGATTCTCGATTTAGGGTTAGAATAGATTTGGAGAGAGTTCGACGGCGGTAGATTTCAGAGATAGGGGAGAGGAATGCGAGAGGGAGAGGGAGTTGAGAGGGAGAGAAAAAATTAGGATTAGGATTTATATAACACCTGATTTTTGAATAATAAAATTTGATCCCCGATTTTTGAATTTCAATCTTTAAAGACCTGGAACCATGTAATTTCCTCATTGTAGAAACCATCATAGCCCTCTCTTGAGTGACAGCCCATTACAGTTGAGTCCAATCCACCAAAGCTACGAAAGCAGACCGACCAATAGGATATGACCATTCAAGTCATTTGGGTCTAAGCTGCCTAACACATTTAATTGTGTGAACTTACTATCTTTGAATGTGTAATCACATATCTTACAATTGATCCTCCATGTGTTCCTTAACATAGTACACAAGAGGCGAAGTACGATGTACATTGAACAATAAATTAGCTAATTAAAGTTACTATAAGAGAATGGAGGGATCAGACTTGGTGAATTTGTGTCAACTCGTGTGTTATGAGTAGCCTAAGCAAGGAGTTGGGAGACCATTGCATTATGAGAATCTGGCCCATGATTATTTACACTTGGGATGATTTCTACTGGAGAAATGAACTTGACCAATTCTTGGAGTTCTGTAAAACTGCTGTGTTCACTGTAGGGTACCTCGTACCTAAAAGAGATTCGAATCACATGTCATCATTATCGAGTTTGCAATGAAAATTTGCCAAAAAAACCATAATAAAAACTAGGCTGCAACAATATGTTCACCTTATAATTGTGCCCTGCTGCCACCTTCTTCCGGGAGACTTCTTCTTGCCCTTACCAAATGACCAGCCGGTGGGAGAGAAAGCAACTATGAGACTAAATCGACTCTGAACAAAATCAAAGAAAATTATAATGAAATGATATACTCGTACTGTATATAATCCATAGAACATATTATGCAACATTTGATGTTAATCACTTGTAAAGGAAGCTGAAAATCAGTTTCTCGACGCTAAAAGGGTATTCAAATTATAGGACAAAAAGACATTTAAGTACAGGGTGAAATTCGTAATATTGTTGGAAACTCCCAAAAATAACCCATCCAAAATAATTTCATTTTTAGAATATGTATCCCTTACCCCATACTGATTGGACATGTGCTTTAATCTTTTGAAGCTTGCAATAGTCCACATGGGTACAACATGAATATGGCTTTCCAATTCATTTTTTGTAAACCATTGCATGTCTTCCTCCGGGAGGTCCAGGCATTTTAAAATGCGTAATTTTGCTGCATTGACATAGATTTTTTTGTGGAGAGATCTGGCAACCTCCATGAACAACCTTTCTTTTCCTGTTCTTGAACAAAAAACACAAGGAAACAATTAGTGGATTTTGCAGAGATTAAGAGTGGGTGTGTAATGGAAATACTCAAATCAGATTGATTGAAGAGATAAGCAGATATCTGGATGGTTGGCAAACGTGCATGAGCAAACTCAAACACGGCATGAGAGATTTAGGAGTAGACATTACCGATGGTATAGCTGCCAATCAAAAACAAAGTTTTGGGGTTGAAAGCTTCGGCTTGGATGGCGTCAATGACAAATTGAATTACAGCCTCCTGTTTTGGGAAGTCATACTGCAAGAATGGAACAGAAAGTATATATTACCAACTGAACGGAATCTAAAATGGAGCCAATACTAGTTCATATATGTCGACTATGTATATGAAATATTGCCTTTGTTTTGCTCCCATTTCTTAGAATTCATTTTTCCAAACTCATTTTCAACCACACATGCCGCGGGATTCACAACTTTTATCAACTTTTCAACCACATATTTCACCAATTTACTAAAAGTCTTATTTTTATCCAAACCAAATTGGGGCATTGTCTTTTCAACATCATCATAAGAAACCAATAGAGGAAAAATATTCTCGTTCTAGTTCTCATGTAAGTGCAATTATTTACGGGAATACTGAAGACCTGGAACCATATGATCATAAATTTTCCATGTTCTGAGACTGAACTATTAGAACTAAACAAGACCTCATTCACACAAATATTTCAGAGATTTTTGTGATCAATGGCAATCCCCATGTAACCATCCCTCAATAGAGATAACATCTACATATACGAATGTGAAGTCAACAGCAACTTTGATGTCCATAGAAAGGCTCAAGTACAAACTCATATGTGATTACTGCCATTCAAAACTTCTATACTTCTAATTTTCCCGAAAATAGCAATAACAACGTGATAAACCAATCTAAAAGCTTGTTTGGGAAAGATTTTTTTAAACCATTTTTGCCTAAAACCATATTCAACCACACATTCTCTGGGACACATAAATTTTTATCACTTTTTAACCATACATTCTCTCAAAAAATCATTTTTCACTTGAAAAAATAAAAAATCTTTCCCTAGCAAGGTTTATGTTGCAGAATAGTTAAACAATTTTTAAACAGAAATTTTTTACTCAGTGCAAGGTAAAATATTCATAGATCTAATTCTGATTAATACAAGGACCGAGTTAAAGTAGCTAAAACCAATTTAATCTGGGCAGACCTGGAGATGACTTTGATTTAACTATACAGATGCTAATTGGAGCATAAACCTTTTCGAGCAATACCCTAGCTTTCAGTATCGATTCTATCCATGAACCTACCTGGGGATCACAATATGTTGTGTCAAGAATGAGAGTGTGGACTGGGCAAGTCTGCAAAATGGAAAGTTTTGCCATCTCCTCACAAAAGCGGAAATCTCCGGTGTGTAATACAGCCTGAATGCATGGAGAACCACAGGATCAATCTTCGAAATACTAAATAACCACCAAAACAATAAGTATTCTAATAAGTCAATTTGGTACGCACCTTACCATTGGGTGGTTCAAATAAAATTATGATAGCACCCGGGCAGTGATTTGCATCAAAGCATGTTACGTCAGTTCCTGCAACATTGATCTTCTGGTTAAGGGGCAAAACTTGTATTTTGTCCCATGGGATACCGATTTTTAGATTAATAAGCTTTGCAGTAATGGAGGAACAATAAATCATCCCATGACAGAAGGACTTCGTAAGTCCTTGATAATCTGCAGAGAACATAACACAAATTGCGTGATTATTTTTCACTCTATATCGAAAGATATTAAAGGAGAATCAAGGCGTGGTGGTCTAGGAAAGTACTTAACACCTCAACCCTAAATACATTTTATAAATAAAACTAAACCAGTTATCTGTTATCTCGTGAACTAGAACTTCATGGCTTGCATGGCACAATTAGCACATCAATGAAAATGAGTCCTAGAGTTTTATTGGAACAATTGATGACATCTCACAATAATAAATAAAATCTGTGGAAGTAGACTTACGATCTAAGTGGAAATGAGTAAGAAACCAATGAGAGCATTCTCTTCTTAGATATTTAAAAGCATCCTGCAAAAATAATGTGAAATATTATGGTAGAAAGAATGTTACATCATAAACCCCATCTTTTTGAGAAATAAGAGAAGGTGAATGGAACTACATTCTTATATTGCAAAAATGGTGCATTCTGAATCATTCAGAGATAAAATAGACATGAACCGAACAATATTAATTTAAGTCTATCGTTAATCTCACTAAACAAAAAATCTTAAGCAATATAGTAGAAGCATATATGATTCCAATGTATCTAGTCCAGAAAAAATATTTTTCAACTCTTTCGCCAGTTGTTATGCTGATGCACATGATAGAGTCGGTTGTTACCAATTAACCACTCTATCATAACATGGACATTGCATGATCGGGAAGCACAAGATTATTAATAAGAGGATAAAATACCAACATCAAGGGTTGGAGACATGAAAGTTTACCACTCGAAACGGTGTTCCTGGTATACAACACCACAGAGGAATATCTTTCTGTTTTCCATTCCTAACACAACTTTTCCCTAGCATGTTCCTCTGAGCAGAATTTGGCTTACATCTTTTAGCCTCATTTTGTCCACTAGAAGCAGTGATGCCTCTGTTTCTTTCAGAAAAATGACCTGGAAAATAATCAGTTATTAACTTGTTTGTTCCCATTTTAGTCTCATCGACTACATTTTTTGAGACATCTGTCTTCACTTCGCCAGCCATCATGACATCTCCTCTTAGTTCCCTTAAAGAATGAACAATTTTTTTCCTGGGACCAAGTGCAGTAATGCCAATGCTACACAGGTCCTGTAGGAAAAACAATGGCAATATTCAGTCAAATTTGGTCAAGTAATAGAAAGTTGATGGACAGGCAATTCTGTGGGTGCGCTAACTTCAGTCAACTACAAAGAAAACTCAAACCAAGAATTTCAGCAGACCACAATAACAGGCTGATAGAGTAACAGCTTAGCTGACATTTGCAGCGGACAGGTCAGGATCCACAAGGCAGAACAATATGATCGAATTCTGAAGCATGCTACTATGAATGTACCATATACACACATAAGAGTCCTTCGCTGCTTGCAAGTACTAATTAACATATGAGGATTTCATGACAAAATGATGTCAGTTTTGAGAAACTCAAATAAGAGTGGGCCATGAATTGCATTGCAATCTCTCACATGAGCAATACATTGGTAAGAGGAGAGTTTTGGGGCACAAGGGTAAATTTGAACTACATTTATTAATCACAAGAAGTAATTGTTTCCTGCAACTCATTTCAAACATTGAGCAGAACTATAGATATATTTAGATGAGTTATCTGGTTTTACTAGTTCCCATTAAAATCAAATTCAAATCAAAATGGTTTTACTAGTTCCCATCAACGTATTTCTACTTTCGTAGCACTAAATTTATAGCATGTTTGAACTTGGGGAAATCCCTTTTCGACCATTTATACAAGGAATTTGCAGAACTGACTGTGATATTAAAAAATATATATTCTAAAAGAATTCATCAATTCACCCATATTGAACGCATGTATGCACAGCCAGATTAAATTTCATTCTGCACACCAGCACAATGAAACAACTTCCAAATTTGGGCATACAGGCATTGCCTAACACCATTCCAGTACGTATCATTAAAAAAATAAAATAAAAAGAACACCTCTTCTGTTAGACACTGCAGTGTATCCCAGTCAATCTCCTCCCTCACGAAAACATCTTCATATTTGGAAAGGCCTAAATTGCGAAGCCATTCTAGAACAGGAGACACGTGAACAACCTTCTGAGGAGGTCGAATAGAAGGACCATCAAGAACTTTTGCGGGAGATTGATGAGAAGTATCACTAGAAGAAACAGACACCTGAAAGATACATCAGACTAGATCTGAATGCGAAATTCATATAAAAAACACACAACTTTTATCTGAGGAAGGATTCAGAAACGGGGATCTAAATTTCAAAGGTAACTAAGATTTCAACAAATATTTTTAATTGGTCATCTGCAACCAAAACATTATGTCCAAAATGATTTTATGAATCAAACTCTAATTTGAGGGTTATATAACATTATTCCTCAAATTCTTAGGTGTTGACTTAATATTTTGAATTTTTAACAATAAACCATCTAATAATCCTGGAATTACAAATTCCTTTTGCACAATTCTTAATCCCAGATGCACATTAATCCCAGATGCACAATCCACGAGAATATTGAATAACTAAGTAACTTCATTTCAAAACTTAGCCTCCGGTGGGAAGAATTTATAAACAGCTTAATTAATAAATATATAGAAATTAGTGGTGCATAAATAAATAGTACTCGTGGGTTCATTGGAATGTATTGTTGAAGACGAAGTTTGAACATTTATAAATTAGCCAAAAGAAGGCTTAGTTTATTATTGAACCCTTTCAACTGGGACAAAATTAAAACAATTTTTGCATCAAAAAGCAAGGCGATAAATTCAGCTGTAGTCCTATAAGATAAGAGTTAGAATGTTCAAATCACAGGCCATATTATCAAATATACATACAAGGAAGACGAGCAAATTGAAACAAAGGGCCTTACATCAGTTGAATTTTCCATTTTGTCAAGGCATTCGTTAGTGTGAACCTGCCTAAAGTCATCACTCAACCCCGAAATATCAGCTCCACATAGAGGACAGCAGATCGAACCACTCTCAACATTGCAATTTTCTTCTTCCAGCAATTCCAAATCGTCCACGTCAGAATCACGCTCGGGGTTATCTCCATCAGCGCACAGCTTGAGCAATACGTCGAATGGAGCGCCTACGTCCTCCAAAATCTCTTCCTCATCAAATCTTTCCTCCTCTTCAACCCCAATTTCCCTATCAACAGCTTCATTAACATTATCATTACTATCGCAAGCATCAGCCTTTAAATTCGGCTGCAATTTCAACAACCTTGACTCCATTGAATTACTATTCGAGAAACGCCCGCCACTCCCATTCGACTTTAACAAATCAAGGGTTGGTTCTATTGAGTCCAACCCACAACCCAAATCTGCCTCCCTTCGATTTTCCTTTCCGGGATTTTGTCTTTTAGGCTTTTTCGATGGATGAGTGGTGGTTGAGCAATGGGGTTTGAGAGGTGGCGTCTGTGAGCTAGTTCTAGAAGCGGAGAGAAAAGGGTAATCTTGAAAATCATCGTCTTCGAGTACTGGGAAGGTGAGGCTGAGAAGGGTTTGTGATTGTGAAGAAGAAGGGATTTTTCGATTGGATTTTGCGTTGGGATTGAGAGCCATTGGGTGAGCACACAAAGACACAGTGGTGACGGGCCAGAGGAGCGAAGAGTTTTTCTTGCTTTTCAAATTCTGGGCGTCGTCAGTAGAAATGGAGGGAACTTATAAATTCTAAGCCCCTGTTTGCTTTGGACAAAATTTTAAATTAAGCCCATGTTTGACACCCATTTTTTATCTCATTCTCATTCTCATTTTTCTACAGTACTCATTTCTAACCACACATTCTTCAAATAAAATAATATTACACATAAACCCAAAAATTCTTCTTACTTTTTAACCACACATTTTTTACATCAATCACTATTCAAAAACTCATTCTTCAAAATAATGGGTGTCAAACGGGGCAGATCTAAACTAAAGTCAACAAATTTTGTCCATGTTTGATAGGGATTAAAATTATATTTTTAATAAACTTTAATAAAAATTAATAAAATGTGTGGTTGAAAAGTTGTGGATTCCATAAAATGTGTAATTAAAATTAATTGTTAACTTTAATTTAAATTAAAATTTCGATTTTAATTTCTACGTCTTAATCGAAATTTTATTATGATTTACTAAAATCTGATTTTTACGGATTAAATAAAAGTTTATGAAAAACGGAGTAAATTATAGCAATGGTGTCCAACCTTTGACTCTTGTAGCAATCTTGTCCCTGACCTTATTTTGCATAATCATTTCTGTGAACCATTATGTAATTAGTGATGATTTTACCCTTCTATATAATTAGAATTATTCTAGACAACCCGCATGGATGACCGTGGGGATGACCGCGCCCTCACAACCGAGGCGAGGGTCCCACCCGAATAAAATAATCCCGACCCCCCGTGTGTGTGCGGTCACCGGCGCGGTCATCCCCGCGGTTCCTATAGCATGGCTCATATAATTAACAAGGTAAAAAATGTAATTAAAAGGACAATTTTATTCTCGTCTTTAAGTAAACAAAAACGAATTCATCTTGTACCCACCTACCCACCAAAAATAATTGCTATAATTGAAGATGTGGCATCGTGTTTTCCTACTTTTTAACTACACATTAAAAAATACTTTTCAAATAATCACTTCTCAAAGTTTTTTGTCAAAAAAATGCTTATTGTTCCGAAAGCCTATTTTACAAGAGTTTTCATGAAAAATAAGAATATAAACTGGAATGTTTTTTACAATTATGACGAAAAAATTGTTGGCAGTTGACACCGACGATGGTGGTACCATCACCACTGTAGTTGTAAAACTAGTGCCCTGTCTACCATAGATTTTCGGCAGATTAAAATTCATTTTTGAACCGTTACCAGCCACTTTTGTTGACTTTGGCTCTCACATGTGGAATCCACTTGGCATTCTAACGGTCAAAAAATAGCCACTAATTCTTTGGAAAATCTACACCAGACAAGCACCTAGCGATGGCAACGAGTCATATATGAAAATGGTCGGTCATTCTCACCCCGTCTCGTTGAGTACTTTGTTACATTGCCTCATTCCCCATACCCAGTTAAGTGGGACAAAGCCGGTTCGGGGCAAGGCGGATCTCCTGCTCCATTTATCGCCTCATTTATTTTTATTTTTATTTTTTATGTATTTGGTTAGTAAATATTATTATTTTATTATTAATTCATTAAAAACAACTTATGTCCTCTTTAAAAATAATAATAAATATATTATTTTTGCTTGGTAAAAAACTTAAATTTGAAATTAATTTTAAACGGGATGTGTAGCGGGGTGGGGACTCGTACTCGGTTCAGGATAATGACCCTTGCCCCGGTTAGGCGAGTAATTCCAGCCCCATTCGGAGCAAGGCCTCACGGATATCAAGTTGAACGATTTTTTTGTCATCTCTATGTAGAACAATCCTTGTTTGAGGAGCTTTGTTACGTGTACACTCATGTATACGCCTTGGGTCACTGGTGGATGCACAACGAGGCTGGGTAAGTCACTTGATTAAGGAGAAATTAAGAAATAAATTAAGGGTTTTGTTACATTTTACCTGAAAGGATACAAAAGGAAATGGTATTGCTGATATTGCTTTTATTTGACTTAAAAAAAGAAAGAAAGAGAGAAAAAATGGCCCAGATTTGATCACGCTAAATTTTTTATATTTTTATCTCAATTTACAAAATTATTACGGGATGTCAAATGAAATCAAAATATTACATTCATAATATCACTTCAAAGTGCTCATAAGCTAGTATTCCACTTGTTAACGGTGTGCAAAACAATTAATCGTAGCAAATGTTACGGAAGTTAAAGTTGATCATTCCAAATTAGTATTTCCAGAATTTCGATAACATACTAACTTTAAAAATTATTCTACGATCGTATGCTAGTAGAATCTATAAATCGCTTACGTTATCTCGAAACTCTTTTTGAGAATAACATTGTAGACATATCGAATGATCAAAATATATATCGAAAATAATTAGATATGCGTCAAACGCGCGCTTTAAAAAGAGGCGTCTAACTCGTATTTTTTTTTTTTTTAAATGTTCAATTATTCCATTAACATTTATTATCTTTGCGTGACAAATTTCTCATTATAATTTAAATCATTTTATTGGGAAATTTTACATGAGATACGACGTTAAAAAAATCTAAGATTGTTACAGGATTAAACTGTCAGTTTTGCTACTTTCAAGTTGTAGTGGTAAAATAATTTTTGAAGGAGCAACTTGATTTTATATAGCAGTAGGGACCGAGCTATCGACCGACTTCAATGCTGTGGTTGACAAATTGACAACAACTTTTTTACAAGTTTGATTGTACTCCCCTTAACTTAAAATGTCTGCATCTATCATTGCCTCGGGGGACAAAATATGCAAATGACATTACGTCATTGGCTAGTGGAAAATATAATCGTTATTGGGTCTCACTCGTCTAATAAAAATCAACAATAACAATTAATTTTTCAATTTTAATATATACCGAACAAGCCCATAATCATCAATGATATACACTTGAATGTTCAAGTAGAATAATTCTTGTTTGAGATGGGTGGAAGAAGATGGATTTCATTTTTCTTTATTTAAAAACAATGGCAGACTTGTCTTTTCAATACCATTTTAGTTAGCATTTAAAAGAGAAGGGCAAATTTGTCATTTAGGGCTAGTTTTAGGCCTTTTTTTTTTTTTTATTTTTAAGAATACATTTTGAAATAGCAGATTGGTAAATAATATGTGTTTAAAAATGAAGAAAATTTTTTATTGAAATTTTTGGATTAAAGTGTAATATTATTTTATTGAAAAATGTGCGGTTGAAAAAAAAAAAGAAAAAAATTTATTTTGAAAGAAAAATGAGGATTGAACTAGGGCTTAGAATGAATCCAGCTAAGTGCTCAAAGGTTGAGGATAGAAATGTTATAAAATAAAGAATGGCAACAATATTGCAAATAGGGGAAACGTCTGGGGACCATTTATGAAATTTACTCAAAATAGAAAGGGCGGGGTGGTAAATGACTTTTGACTCTGCAAGTTCAAATAGAAAGAAGAAGAAGAAAGTATGAACTATAATCACGCCAAGACCCTTTTTTTCCTTCCGAAACCTCCAAAAAGCAAAAGAACAACAGAGAAATAAAAAACGCAGTTAAAAGCTTCTGCTTAGATTCTTCTTCGCACTCTCTGACTTCACATTGGCCACCCACCTTTCAAAAAAGGTGCAAGATTTCTCTTTCTTCGCATGCTGCCCTTCGTTCTTTACTTCTCTTTCAAAAATGGGAGTTCCATCTAATAGTAACTATCCATTGACTCACTTTTTTTAGAAATTAGAAAAAAGGATGAAAATTTATGATTTTGCGGTGTTACTTTGGAATGTACTAATAATAGTATATTCATACATATTCAAAAATTTCGACCTTTTTCCCCTTCCCTCTCCTTCGTTTCATTCTAAACAACTTTACATTTCTTTTATTGAACAGCATAAAAAAACCCAGTTTCATTTTGCTATTAAAAGCCCACATTTGTTTTCACCTCCATCTCAAAATTGAATGAAGAATTGAAAAAAAAAATGGGTGGTATTGGAAGAGGGAGAGTGGAGGTGATAGCCAGCAAGGGGTGTTCAAGGCTATTTAGAGATTTTTCTTCCTCATTCAGAAGCCTCCAGTCTTTCTCCTTGGAGCCCACGTCCCCTACTTCCACTGCCACTGAAGTTCTTGAATATCCTGTGAAAACAATTAAATCCAATAGCCCGTTCTCTGGCCTTGTCATTTGCGTCACTGGACTCTCTATAGGTGCGAATCCATGTGGCAATTACGATTAATTTGAATATATTATTACATGTTTATTGCTGTTTGACTCTAGGAGCAATTATTGATAATTGTTTGGATTAGTAGAATGCATCTATAATTTTATAATGATGTTGCAAAATCGTTACTGTGGCTGTATTTTTTCTTGTGAGTGCAATTGGCATCTCATGTGTATAGTATTCAGGTTGATAATAGATTAATGCTGAACCATGTTATCTCAGAAGTTTCGGCGACAGAACATATTTATGTATGTAAATTTAGTTTCCAACAAGTCCCATAATGTGCATTTTAAATTTATTTTTGCATGACACGTGTAGAACTTTCATAAATAGGTGGTGGCAACTGGAGAGTCCTGAAACCAATGGTTCAAACACTTTAGCTATTAAGTGAGGAGGCATTTATTTATTTAAATTGCCTTCAAGGGTTACTACAACATTTTTTTTGTTTTTTGGGTCGAGTCAAAGTCTTGGAGAAGTTGACTGGTTTTAAGTTTTAGGATAATAAGTAAATTAACTTTAGATTTTAAGCTGAAAAAGATACAGATTAGTTGACCAAAAGTAGTTACATATGTTTTTCACACTTCATATAGCTTGTTGTTTATTCTGCTATCGTTATGCTATTTACAGAAGCAAGAAAACAGGTGAAGAAAGCAACAGAGAAATTGGGAGGTCAATATAGCTCTCATCTCCATCCTCAATGTACCCATTTGGTGGTTCAGATATCCTATTTCAATATTTAGTACCCTGATGCTTATCATATCAATTTGCTGAATAACGCGTTAATTACATTTCTTTTCGTCAATATAAATGCTTGGATCTAGTTTCAAATTGTCTCCAAAATATTGTCATTAAACAATTAAGGTTATCTTTCTGATGCAAAAATGCATTCTACTCCCATGATATTTTTGTTACCCCTTAACACTATGTACAGCTCTCATGGGCGCAAGTTTGAGCATGCATTGAAACATGGACCAAGAAATGGTCTGTTTTTGGTTACAATAAGCTGGTTTGTTGATAGCGTCAAAAAGAACGGTAATAAATTCATTTCCTTTATTTGTTGGTTGCTTTCAGTGATAATTAATTGACTTAAGTTTTCCTATTTTAATTTTTGCCAACATGTTATCTTGTATTAACCTTATTATTACTGAGTTGGTCGCCAAAACTTAACTCCATGTACTCGAAAACATTGATTTCATTTTTTGTGATGGATGACATACTTCATTGTTAACATTAGCTGGTAAATTTAGATCTCTTAACATCATCGCTAAACCCTGTGCTTATGCATATAACATCTACCTTCGTGACAAACAAGAGTTCTGACATGTATTAATTGCTATTGAGCTTGGAGTTCTACTTCACATTCTATTACACTTGACGATTTAGTGAATGGGTTGAAGGTGACCTGTAATACAATCCAATTCAGAGCAGTTTTGGGTTAAAAATAGCTTGGCTCATGTAGCCATTTTATGCACAAGGTTATGAATTTTTGCTTTAAATTTAGCAGCACGGGATAGGAACATTCTACTTTCGAACAACTGAGTTTGTTCTTTTAATTGTTTCAGAGAGGTTGAATGAGTCACTTTATAGTGTTAATCATAATGGAGAAAAGGGTGCTGTGACCAATGATTTGAAGCAGCTTGCTCAGAATACTGACAGTGAGAAATCGTCTCATCCTGTTGATTCACTTGAGTACAACGGACAATCTGGCTTGCTCGGAGGACCACACCTGCGATTTTCAGAAAGACATTCAAAAAGAATTGTAGCCTCACCCTTTTCTGGTCAATCATTTTATGTTGACAATGATGTCTCCTCTGATCTTTGCAGTAAGGTAGAGTTGAATTTTTCCCAAGGCAGTGAAGTTTTATCCTTGCTTAGTTGAATGAAATATAGACTACAGATATATTGTTCTCCGAATCACTGTCAAAGTGTTAAGTTATTGCTTATTTCATTTGAGAGATGAGCTGTCATTCATTAGTTTATTCTTCATTGTGTTGTTAGTGAAGTTCTCACATGTTATATTGTCATAAACCTGAAGTTTTGTGAATTCAAATGATTCAACTGTCCAAGGTAACCCAAAGAATTCTCAAATGTGTGTATCTATTGCATAGGTAGCTGAGGCTGTCTCTGCAGAAGGTGCTAGTTTACTGGATCAATGGTATGTTGGCTGTGATGCCAATTATATTGTATGCGAAGGATCTTCGGTTCGAAAATATCTTGGGCACTCATGTAATCTTGTTACGGTAAGTGTCTGTATGCCAATCCATTTAAGAAAAATTGAGATATTGTATAGTTTTCAAAACAGAGGAAAATATCGTATTTGTCATTTATGATGATGATGTTGCAACATGAATTTGAGCTATGCTCCTAGGATTTTATTCTTAATTCATCTTCTCAAATATCTGATATACTGTTGTGGTACATTTTTCAGTCATCTATAAACTAATATTTTGCATGCCTCAGCCAGCGTGGGTTCTGAAGTCCGCAAAGGAAAATTATGTGCAGAGGCTTGTACATATGTCAGCAGATTTGGCCAGGCAAACTAAATCATTGCTTGACACAATCGAAAATGGCATTTTTAAGGAGGTAATGCAGGTTTTTCACTATTAATTTTTTTTTTCTTTTCTTGTTCTTTTTCTTTCTTAACAAGTTTTACATCTTTGGAACATTTGATAAGCCCTTACCTTTAAATCGCGAGTTCGTACAGAATGAAATTTTTATTTAGCATTTACAAGTCACGGGTATTTGAAATGCATAAAACATTTATTGGTGGAAGCCATTCGGTGAAGATTCTCTTTTTTCTACACGTACATGTCTTAAGAGTGATTGTAACCTTCGAGATTTTCTCGTTTAGCCTACACCAAGGAGTGCTCCTGTTTCTGGCTCCAAAATTTTGTATCTGTAGCCAACTCAATCCATGATGTTAATCTGGTGCGCTTCACTGTTAAAAAACTGTCAAAATGTCCCAATCCTTGTTAGAGTACACCGGGGATTAGTTATAGAAGTTAAAATCATTCTTTTAATCTGAAAACTAGTTTCTCACTTTGCAGTTTACTTGGTTTTGGTTAGGATAGGTGTATGATTAATAGTTAAAATTAGTTCTAGAACTAATGGTTTCTTTTGGAGGTTATATGTCAGGTAAACGCCACTAAATGGCTGCATTGGTACTCATAATCTTTGTCTTTTATCAGTTGAATGTCCCTATGGATTTCAACAGCACTGACGTTCTGTAGAATTTAGTTCATATTTTGTTCCTGGATTTCTATCTCTGCTCGTTAAGTTTCTCATCCATTGAGCCTTTAAATTTTCTTCAGGGGTTCAATGCAATAACTGATCCTGCTGGTGTATCTCATTCTATAATTTATATAAGCCAGGTAGAAAGGCAAAATATTGCAGACCTAGCTAAAGATGGTGTCAGAAAGCGTCGGAATCACCATATGCAGGTAAACTTTTTTGATACCTCAACCGATTTCAATGATTTAGATTTGTGTCACTTTAAATGTTGAGTTTTTATGGTTTAGATGCTTATGCTAGTCCCATTGATTTCTTTTTGATTGTCGTCCTTAAGTGGCGATATTTGTGCTGATCTATCGGGAATTGTTTTGAGCTTGAATTTTGTAACAATATAATGCACCTGTGGTGGCAGACGTGTAAAACTCCAATACGTCCAATGACCCCGAGCAGCCTTTTGGATTCCATTTGCTGGTCAATATCTGAGCCAACTTCCTCTGCTTCTATTTATACATACTCTTCAAGTGCTGAGAATAATGGCGTTAAAAACCAGACATGTGCGATTGTTGGGACGAAAGAAGACATTAGGGAATCAGGGACTTCATTTGTGAACTTATCCCGACCGCTTACAGAAAGGTCACTTGAACTTTTATTTTTTAGCCAGTTCTATCGTCTTTTGTAGACTTGGACTTGTTGAATATGCTTTTTCTCTCTCATCGGACTTGCGGGTGAAAACCTGGATTTACTGCTTTTATCCCTGACCAAATTTTTGTATCTGTGGAGTCAATTGCAGTGAGAAGTGTGGGTTAATATTCAAAAGCCACTTCCTAACTATACTGTTTCCAATTGATCGATTTTTGGAGACGGGCCCTCGTTCAAGGACATTTTTCAGTGAGAAGGGCTTTACGTGTTTGCAGGTGTTGGATTATGTCCATGCATTTTACCAGGTATGTGATCTCTTTTGGCTCTGACTTGTCGTCCGTGTAGCTAACCTGGAAGTGTGGATCTTTAGCTGTTTCGTGCAGAGGATAATGTACCACAAAACTCAATGACATAAATATTGTTTTAATGATTTCACAACTGAAAACTTGTGCAATGTTCTTACTGGTTTCATGATTCTGTCTCATAGGAGAATATGTCGTCTGAGGAAATAGAAATAGCCATCCACACGGATTCAAGACATGCTGACCAGCTTCGATTGGCCTACTCCAGCAAAGAGACGGCAGAGCTTAAATTTGTTGAATTCAAGCGGATTGATTTTCTGGGAAGTCGTATAAGTTTTGAAATGTTAAAACGCGTGAATGGCGATAATGATAGTAATGTTTATGAACTGTTGATCAGAGCATGAGTTCGTTTTGCAGAAGTTGGTTTGCCTTCTTGGTGTTGAAATTCGTTCATAGTCAATTCACTCCGAATATTTTTTTTTCCTGCTCGAGTCAAATTAATCCTTGTGTTGGATTACATATGTCATGTACGGCACTTTAAATGTTTTCACTTATTTGTGCTTGTCTTGTGTTTGATATACAGTGTTCTTGTAAGGATACTGTTTTGTTGGTTTTGATTTAGCTATAACAGTTTGGCAACGTCAAGGAAACAACTTTGGAATTTTTGTGAAATGCCATTATTTCAAAAGAATTTGGTTTTCAGTCCTGTTTGATACACATTTTTAAAAAAATTTATTTTTTCAAAATTCATTTTCAACCACACATTCTTCAATAAAATAATTCATTTTCAACCACACATTCTTCAATAAAATAGTATTACACTTAAATGAAAAAAAAATTTATATTTTTTAATTACATATTTTCTATCACATCACGTCACATCATATCATAAAATGCATTTTCTTCTCCATAATGTACATCAAACACTCTCTAGGATTCTCGAGTTTTTCACTCGATGTACACATTGAAAACGTAAGATAGACAAAGAAACCTACAAAATCCTTGCTTGAGACTACTAGCTAGAGACACTCAAGAAAACACTTTCCTGTCACATCTTGCATTTTGACCAAATGAAATGATTTTCCATCCGCAGTCATTCTATTCTGACCCTCAACATTTGAGGGTTGATTTGATTCGATTTGATGGTTAAGATTTGATTTAGAAATCATCTTGAGAGTAATCATGTTATAATTCCTAGGAATCCTCGCACCAACTTCAATGCTCCTAATCCTCCATGAAATCTTGTAATTTCTTTTGGTTCTTCAGTTGCCTCTGTTGATTAAGAAACCATCTTGAGACTAATCATGTTACAATTCCTAGGAATCCTCGCACAAACTTCAATGCTCCTAATCCTCCATGAAATCTTGTAATTTCTTTTGGTTCTTCAGTTGTCTCTGCTTAGTAAAACCCTAAATTAAGATTGCTGAAAAAAGTAATTTGCATCTATACACACAATCAAGAGCCAATTTTGTGTACCTATTTTATGGAGTAGATAGATACACAAATGTACAAGGATAGAGAGACCAAAGGTTAAGAAGGTGTAACGAGCTAGTAAAACCTAAATTAAACAGCAAATTTTTAACAGTTGGCAATAGCCCATAAACGAGCCAACTTTGCTGAAGCTTTTTAAAGTTTCTTGTTTCTAAACCTACAACGGAAAATGTCATTATTCACCCACCCCACGTCCCACTTCCACCCACAAACCCTAGCCTCAATTATCATCTCTTAAATAGGGGTCACTAAAGAAAAGCAATAAGAGAAGAGATCTATAGAGAGAGAGAGAGAGAGAGAGAGAGAGAGAGAGAGAATTGGAAAGTCGAGAAAAATGGGGAGAGGAAAGATTGAGATCAAGAGGATTGAGAACTCAAGTAACAGACAAGTTACATACTCAAAAAGGAGAAGTGGGATACTGAAAAAAGCTAAGGAATTAAGTGTTCTTTG